CCCCTGGGGTGCCCGGGGCGCCGGGCGCTGCCCCCCTGGGCAGCAGCTCTGTGCAGGGCACAGATATGTTCTGCAGTGGGTAGAGCACGAAGGGCGCATTGTCATTGGCATCCAGCACGAGCACGCGCACCAGCGCCTGGCTGCTGAGCTCAGGCAAGCCTTGGTCTGTGGCGCCCACGCGGAACTCAAAGGTCTGCAGGGCCTCATAGTCCAGCGCCCTGAGCGCGAACAGCTGCCCATTGTCTGCATTGATGGAGATGAGCGAGGAGAGGGCCAGCTGAGGGTCGTGGGTGGGCAGCAGCGAGTAGGTGATGTGGGCATTGGAGCCTGAGTCTGAGTCTGTGGCGCTGATGGTGCCTATGTGCAGGGCGGGGCTGTTGTTCTCCTGGACAAACAGGGTGTAGGAGGTTTGTGTGAAGGCGGGGGCGTTGTCGTTGACATCGGAGACCCGCACTGTTATGGTGTGCTGGGTTGTGAGCCTGGGTGTGCCCAGGTCGGTGACTGTGATGATGATGGTGTATTGTTCTCTTTCTTCTCTATCTAGCGCTCTCTTCGTTATTCCGTTACCAAGGTGTAGAAATTTTCTTCAGTAGGCTTCAAGAGGAAGGGAAGGCGGTCTTGGATGGAGCAAACCATTTCCCCATTCTCTCCAGAGTCTGGATCTGAAATTCCAAAGATCGCGACTACAGTTTCAGGAGCATTTTCTGGAATGTCACTGATAAGTAATGACATGCTGAGTTCAGGGGCGTTGTCATTTACATCCATCACGTCTATTACTACCGTGCATTTTCCTGAAAGTCCTCCCCCATCAGAGGCCTCGATTTCCATGCGGTAAGACTGAATTTCCTCGAAGTCCAGTAGTTTTCTTATTCTAATTTCTCCGGTGTCTGTATTTATTTCAAAAGCCCGAAGGACTTGTTTTGAGGCTTGAAAAAGCGAGTAGGTCATCTCTGCATTTGTCCCAGCATCTAAATCTCTTGCGGACACAGTGAGAACAAGTGAGCCCACGGGGCTGTTCTCTTGAACCTGCACCTCATAGAGCCCCTGGGCAAATTCTGGGGCATTGTCATTAATGTCCAGGACCATGACGAGAACCTGGGTAGTCCCAGTCTTTGGGGGTGACCCACTGTCCAGAGCCGTGAGTGTTAGTCTAACCTCTGCCTGTTCCTCCCGGTCCAGTGCGTTGTCCAGCACCAGCTCAGGGTATTTCCTGCCATCGCTGTGATTGCGGGTGAGAAGGTGGAAATGGGAGTTGGTGCTGATGGTATAGTTCTGAACTGTGTTGCTACCTACGTCCAAATCTTGAGCTATTTTCAATGGAAACTTGGCCCCTGGATGGCTGCTTTCCAGGATTTTAAGGAGAATTTCATCTTCCATGAATTCTGGGGCATGGTCATTTACATCTTGGAGCTGTATTTCCCCTTGAATAAATTGCACTGGACTTTTTAGTAACACCTGGAATTGTAGGATGCACGGGTCCATGCTCCCGCATAACTCCTCCCGATCCAATTTTTCTTTCAGAACCAATTTTCCACTCTTCTGTTCCAGCTGTAAGAGCTGTTTGTTCCCTTTGTTAAGAATCTGGGCGCCCCTGGTGACCAGATCCCTTAAACCCAATCCCAAATCTTTTGCTAGGTTGCCCACCAAAGAGCCCCTGTCTGTTTCCTCTAGAACGGAATACTTAATGGTCACACTGCCTGCCTCCCACAATAGAAACAGGAAGACAATGGCGGTCACTTGCCTTTTCAGTAGTGCCTTGTGGAGTGGTGTCTCCATCATTCCTCAGGTCCAAAAGATGCAGCAGTAAGTTACTCACACTACAATTACTCTGTGAACAACTCAGGAATCTTGGCTCAATAATTTTCAGCTTCTTTTCTGTTTAACATTGCTGTACACGGTGAATCTGCCTCTCTGAAGGGGTCTATCGGCAGAAATGTGAAAAGCTCCCTTCCTCAGCTGCAAGTAATGGCTCTGCTTTTACAGGCAGGCTTTCTGCAGGTTTTCGTTTCCTTAGCCTGCAGCGCCACCAAGCGTTCTGTTTTACAACTTCAGGTAATTTTTGTTTCAAAGCGCTCTCTCTGTAAGGGCTAAAATGCTCACCTTTCGGATCAAAGTGTTCTGTTCGTTTCTTTCTGGCTCCTTTCTCCCTAAGCCTCATTTGGAAGCCTTGCTATAGCTAATCCGTGTGAGAGAAATATACATCTTCCTTATAAAGTTACAAATTCAGTACAGAAATCTCCACAGAGACTGTCATTCATTTAACAATTGCTTTTCTATACAGGAATTCATTTAGTTTCTGATCATAGCACCATGGAGGAAACACAGTTTTTTTTTTTTTTGCTCTTGGAAGGGATTCCAATCTATTAAAAATTGATAGTTTTTTTCTGTTTGTAAGTAAAAATATTATTTAAAAAAAAACAGATCATAACTGCTAAATGGCAATGTGCCTATAACTCATGAAGGGAAACTAAAAGGTGATTTTTGTTTGTTTGGTTTTCCTCTCTGTGGTGTAGTCTTAGGACCTTTCATACATAAATGTGCTGTGTGTGGTGACCAATAAAGTTGAATGGAGATGGTCACTTGTTTATAAGTAGTCTGTTCTGGCTCAGAGTTCAACTGTCTTCTCTACAAATATGAAGAAGATAATGAAGTCAATAAAGTAAAAATGACCCTTTCTGGGAAAGGATTTTGACCTATGTGCCTTGAGTAGGGGACCTTTGGGCTGTGGAAACTGTGTAATTGAAAAACACTGAAGCTCCAACCAGAGCTGTGTGGTTGGAATGAAAGAAAGAAGAAACTCCCACCACCCCCAAGAATAAGGATGCTATTTGAAAAACAGGGCAAGTATCCCAGAATTCCAAAGAGCAAATGTTTCCTTTGGCCATTATATTTCACTTTGATTAAAGTTAAAAGTAAAATATTCACCCATCACCTTAATATAATAATTTGCCTTCCATTGATAGAAATTTGGAAAGAACTTTTTCAAAGGATGATGGCAACTGTAACCTACAAAACAAGACTATGAATATAAATGGCTTTGTAGTTAATAAATGATGCTCATAGAATGTTAGAGGAGAAAATGCGGATACTTGGAAACAGGAAGGAGAAATTTGGAAAATATAACTTGGATTTGAAAAATAACATTAAACTCTTAAACCTTTAGACAAAAACGAGATAAAACTTGCTTTCCTGGATTTTATGCTCAATGAAATGTAGAGTGTGCAGAAAGATGCTTTTTGTATTGAAGGAAAGAAGACAATCTCAGTAAGCAATAATGTTTAAATTTTCACGTAATTAAAATTAAAATAAAAGCTTCATTCATGACAAAGGCACATTGGAGAGAATGTTAGTACTTTTTTGTAGAAAATGTTTTTTTTTTCAAAAAAAAGGGACTGTTGGATGGATGTTTCAGCAAATATTTATTTGGCATTTGTAAATACTTTGATGCTAAAAGACCGTAGTGTTCTTACAGAAGGTCACAAACTATTGATAACTTAGTAAAATCTATATTTAAGAAACATGTGAACTATTAAAATATACTAAAAAATAATTATGCATAAATAAGGTATGTGTCTTAGCACTTAGGTTTCCTTACTTTTATACTTATTTGGAGGTGCACATGATAACTAGTTACCCCAAAATGAGATTAAATTTGCAAAATTCAGTAATATCAACTATCCCCATTTAAAACATTCCTACACACTAATAGGGACATTAATCACTTGTTTGGAATGCAATCTCAAGGGTTTTACATGATAATATATTTAAAAGATTATTTGATTTCAAATTTGACTAAAAATACTTTTAAGTTGTTTTACAAGTTAGTGTCACTAATTTATAAACAACTGTAAAGTATAATAGAGAAACTGGTGAAATCTCCAGAAACTGACTATTTAGAACTGCAGTCTTGATGGGCAGTGGTGGTGCAAGCCTTTGATCCCAGCAACGGGGATTAGGGGCAGAGGCAGGCGGATCTCTGAGTTCAGGGCTATGCTAGTCTACAGAGAGAGTTCCAGGACAGCCAGGGCTACCCAGAGAAACCCTGTCTTGAAAAAAAAGTGCAATCCAAAGAATATTAGCAACAAGGCAGGCCAGGCCATGACAGAGGTCTGTAATCATTGTACTATGGTGACAGAGGCAGGTGGGTCTCTCGATGTTCCAGGCCAGCCAGTTCTACAAAACAAGATCCAGACCACCATAGTGTAGAAAGTAAGACCATGTCTCAAAAATAGAAGTAAATAAACAAATAAAAAGGTTGACAATTTAGCTCTATGGCTGAGTTTCCCTAACACGAATAAGACACTGGATTCCAGTTCTGGGACCTGTCATAAAATGTAATACCATTAGCCTCAGTCAACATACATCAATAGCATGCAGATTCAGGTTAAAAGATAGCTCTAAGCTTAAACAGAATTTACTACTACACTACAGTATTTAGATGAATAGGAAGCTATTCCGAAGGTTAGGGCTTTCCTCTGTTTTCCTCTCAGAGTCCAAAGGAGGGAATTGGGGATTCATTGCCTTTAGAAATTTGAACTCACCAGTCCCAGAGTCTTCCCTCAGACACACCTCATACTGGTAGCTCTGGGACAGGGTCCCCGCACCACTGACATCCACCAGGTGACCAGGAAAGGGGCCCTCTGGAACAGAGCAGCCACCCAGAGAAGAGGCCCTGGCTCTCCTGCACAGCCTCACCGCCACGAACAGCAGCACAGACAAGAGGAAGAGCGAAGACACAGATGCCAAGGCGATGACCAGGTACAGCGTGAGCGCGTCTTCCTCCTGTGAAGATTCGCGCACCACCTCAGGCAGAGGCAGGTGGGGGTGAGAGGAGACATGCACCCACACCACACGCG